CCGATTAATAAAGCCTTTCTGCGTTTTGGAACGCTCGTTAATTGTTGATTTGAGTAAATAGGTGGTTGTTGATACGTATAACTAGAATTAGGAGATCGAGAGGAAGAAGAGTCGTCTTTGTCATCGAGTCTAGGGCCGCTTTTATAACCCTTTGTTAAGATACATCGTTCTGAATCATCCATTTGTTTTGTTTTTATTAAAGAAAAAATAGCAGCGGAATAAGTCAATGAGTATGTTTTACAAGTTTTTGTTGTATATATATCGATATAGTACTATATTTAGTACATATATATTTGGTAATCTGTATGATATAGGGGTACATGCATATTTCTCCGATGTCTCTTTTTCGACCACCCCCAATATCGATATTAATATGGATCAGTAAAGACCAATTTTAAAGTTGTTTTCATATTTACTAAATATAATATAATCTAAACATAATATGCAACAGCCTCCTATGACTTCTACAACACAGCCTGGACCTTCCACTGTACCACAGTTTGTCGTGATTCACGACCAAATGCAACAGTCTTGGAAACATCCAGTCGTACATTATGTTTTTGAAGACGAGCCTTTCCCTACAAATGCGCCCAAAGATAGGTGCATTCTGGTAAACCTTAAAGAAGATGGTGAAAGTGTGGCAGATTGTTACTCTTTTAGTCATACTTTTCAAGTATCAAGTTATAAAATCAGTTCGACACCGCAGATGAACACGACGAGCCCTGGAGGCAAAGAACCTTCTACAAGCACTAGTCTAATGTTAACGATTGAGGGAATGTCTGCAAAGTAAGTTTCTATTCTCAAAAGGAAATCAGTATTTATTTTAGTTTTATTAATGTGCTAAATTTATAAAAAGGAATTCTACGGTAAATAATGAAAATCAATTTGGTTATAAAGAAGAATTTGATCAATCATCAAACGTGTTTGGATTAGATGAATTGGTACATGATTACAAACGAAGGTAAGATATTAAACTTTTGATTAAAGGTTTTATTTAATGTACGAATGGGATGTAAATAATTCTTACATATTCAATTATTTTAATAATTTAGAAACGAACTAATGAGGCAATTATTCACCTAATTATGGTCCCCCAAAAAAAATTACTATAAGAATAATTTCCCTGGAATGAATATAATGTTAATGCATATATGCAATTAATATTATCCAATCAAATGACTATATAATAAATATATAAATAAAATTTGTAACTATAGAATCAAATTCAAGAATCTTAAGATCACGGATCACAGATGTCACAATATCTCTTGGGTTTTATGAAGAGATCTCTAGTAGACTTGAGTACTAGTCATCCAGGTAAACCTAGGTAGCATTAGTTAGATATAAGTTGAAGGCACAGGAAAAATATTTGGAGAATGAACTAGGAAACCACCGTTTGATACTTGCTTTCAAGTAGGAGTTTTTCTAGACCATTCCCCATTTAGGCATGCCTTGGACCGAAGAATGTCCTCTTATTGTGTCTGGAGCATCCCACAGAAAGATCGGGTATCATTACACTTTCATTTTATGTTCCTGTTATTTTTATTAAATATAATGAATATATACGATGAGATAACTTAGAAGAGATAGACAGGGTTTAGAATGAGCGTTGAGAAAATTGCATTTTTATGCGGAATGTAATTTTACGCAAGGTTTAATAAAGACTGCCTTCCTCTACGGCTTATAGAATTATTTATTGGCTAAAAAGTAGACCGATTAAGTTAAAAAACCTGATTCTAATAACTATCTTGTTTTTTTAGAGTTGTTCTGATTGACTGAAATTTAATATCTGCATTTTGCATAATGAATTTTTTTTAGCAAAATTGTTATTTAATTTCAATTAATAAAAATACAAATTATAAAAAAAAACTAACTTTATTAACGAAATATTTAATTTTATTGAACAATTGATGAGATATATAAAATAACTACTACGTATATATAACATTTTCATAAGTGTATATTCTAGAAATTAGGCATGTACTGTATATGAGTATGCACTTAAGGGTAGCCAATAAAAATAGGCAGTCTTGTATATGTATATACAATAATGCAGCAGAGGTCTTTTTCGATTTTTAACAGCTGCCCTACCTTGTTTAGTGCGTCGAAAGTGTATCGGGGGTGCGTCGAGTGTAACCCAGGTTGAGCTTCTCCCTGCGTTACGAATACAAAGTAGAATTTCCAATTATATATTATAATTGAAAATTCTACTTTGTATTCGTAACGCAGGGAGAAGCTCTCCTCATGCGAACCTGGGTTACACTCGACGCACCCCCGATGCACTTTCGACGCACTAAACAAGGTAGGGCAGCTGTTAAAAATCGAAAAAGACCTCTGCTCAATAATGCACACGAGTTTTAAGTATGTGTACTTATACTTAGAGCGTATTTATAAAAATATTATTAGTATTTGTAAACTATATATTTTATATATTTAAAAATTATTTTTAACTTATCGCCATAGTGATATATCGCTACCTCCTGAGACTTAGTTGTCGCGTCGCGTGATGCCGACATCACGCGACGCGATTTTGACTTGAGTAGCGATAAATTATAATGCCATATTTTTTGCCAGTGGCAAAAACATTGTTTTTGACCCACTTAACTCATATATTACATGATCACATAGTGATCGCGATCACGTCGAATGTGAAATGAAAATGATGTAATGATTAATATTGTAAAAAAGACAAAAGAATAAAGCGAACCTTTTGCCCTTAAAAAAAAATAACGAAATATGTATCGTAAAAGAGTTACATAGAGATCCATACAATTGTTAAATCGCAAATACATACAATATTATAAACTATAATAAGAACGGTCATCATCTGATCTCATGAAATAAAATATAGAAATATATTTAAAAAGTGTATTAATTCACGCAAGATGGCTTCCCTTTCTCTTCGTATCGGTAATAACGAGCAAGATAGAAATTCGTTTTGATTGGATACTTGTTTTATATTGGCAAATAATGTTACACGAGTTTTTTATATTATTTTACAATAGAAAATTTTAATTTAAAGTATCAATATCGAACTTTTT